TGGAATGGTTAACACGTGCTCTTATAGGACAGCTGTAAATTTTTGATTGAAAAGTGTGATGGAAAAAAAACAGGACCAAAAAATTTGAGGTGTAGAGAAATTGAAGTATGAGAAACAATTGTGCAAAGTTTCAACCGCTGTTATCATTGATGTTACGGAGATATTTGTGACAGAATAAAAAAATAACAAAAATCAAAAACGTGTAGTGGCAACGTTGCACCTACAGCTAGCAGAAGCTACAACTCGGAGCTGTAGTGTCACTTGGCAATATTTTTAAAAAGTCAAAGGGTATGTCTGATTTAATAAAGTAATAAAAAAAAACAGTTTCCACACATGACTAACAGATTTTAAATCAACAGTAATAAAAACTATTGAGATTGTAGAACAGGTTCCATAATATATTGCAAACATAGTATTAACTTAATACTAAATTTCATTTTACATGTTATGCAGAAAATTAATAGAATTATTACATGCATTATGCAAACATTACATATCATTTTGGTAGCACTAGGACTGCAACATCAAGTTTTTTTTATCAATACAAGATGACTCACAATGGTGGATACAATGCTGTTTTTCTTTATTATTTTGGCTGTGCCATTTTCTTCTCCTTCTAAGAGACTAATAGCTGCAGCTTCACTGATTTCAAAAGCTTTAACTAAATCTTGATAGCTCAAATTCGATTCAGATCATCTTTTTAACATATCCTTAGAAACTACATTTTGTAGAGGAAGAAACGTTAGTTTATTATTATCATTGCGTTTCTTATTTTTGATGTATTTACAAATATCTAAGAAAGTTGTGTTAACATTGAGCAAATCTTGAAACGCAAGAAATTTTTTAGCGAGTTATTCTAATACTTCTACATCAAACTGCGCATCATGCGCATCAAAATAAGATTTTTGTAATTTACAAGATACTAAAGTACTTAATTTATAATTCTCAACATCTTTCAAAACTTTTTTAAAGAATGCTAACGTATCAGTAAAATCTGTAATCAATTCAGAATACTCATTAAGTAAATCACAGCTTTGTACTAATACTATGAAACGACGAGAATCGAAATCACAATTGTGCGCTACCTGAACACATTTTCTCCTTATAGTTTTAAAAAATTTCAATTTATTCGACACAACAACTGATTTAGAAGCTGTCGTAATTTGATTACCATTTTTATAAAGATTTTTATTTATTCTCTTTGGATTATGTACTTCTGATGACCGAGGGTTAATAGCACGCGTTGGAGTTGTATAACTACTGAAAGACTGATCCTCAAATTTTAAAGATATTTGTAACACCTCATCCTTAAACTTATTAAAACCACTGGTTTCCAATTTGAAGAAAACTATTGCTACATCATTATCTTTAAATATCACAAAGCTAGACGTTTCATTCAAGTCTTGTTTTAAAATCGAAAAATTATTGTCATCCTCGTGCTTGAAATGTTCAACACTTTTTTCATTTTGATCGAAAAGAGACATGTTACTATTATACGATAGCCCCTCATTTTTTTCTTTACGATGTTTAAGCTGTGAGCAATTTTGCGAAAGCTCAATGCGTCTTCTTTTAACATTGATATTTTGCTCTCGATGCTTACGTTTTTCTGCTGTGCGATTTACCACTTGTATACGATTTTTTAATCGTTCGGTAGAAGGCAATTCCAGAGCATCAAAAATGCAAGAGATGAATGATGCAGTATAATCCGACTGTTTACGCGAATCTGTAATCGCTGGACTCACTCGTAGTATAGCAGATTCGCTTTGGAACCTTACTGCACATTGAATTGTTGCGACTTTCGTTAGCTTGTGAAGACGCTGCTATTAAAAATTTTATTGCATTATCTGAGAGTTTGTTAAATGTATTACGAAGTTCTTCCAGCAACACTGGATTTTTCAATTGCAAGTTAAAATGATTCTCTTTGTTGATTTTTGCAGTGCATCAACTTCCACAATCTTCATAAATTCCAAACACGTGATTTGGAATATTTTTAATAGCAGCCTTCACTTTATCCAACTCTCCAACATTTTGTTTCACTGCATAACTAAAATATTTTTTTAGCGTCTTTATTGTATCATATTGCAATTCTCGGTCTGGGTCTTTACTTTTCTTCGTTCCAATCGTACACAAAATATTACTGACTCATATTTATGTGTGATTCATATCAGATTGCTTGAGGATTAAGTGTTTAGATGATTTTTGTACTGCACTAATACAGCTGCTGTCATTATCAGCGATGAATACACCGATTTAAACATTCACCTTTTTGAAAATATCGCTTTCATTTACAAGTAGACGAGCTCCCTTAGATTCCATAGCTTTAGCGCTACCTTGAAAATTCAACCGACAGTCATGCTTCTAGAAGATTCTATTCTTCTCATTGTAGTAACATTGTCTACACTTTCTATTGAAAGTAACGAAATTAAAAATCAGTCCTATTTGCAACCCGAAACGAAACACTCATACCCATTCAAGCTATCGTAACTGTAGCCATTCGAACGCTGACTCCATCCGAAGTCAAAGGATGCATTTAACCTCACAATTTTTACCTCTTGACCGTCTCGAATTTCATTATAAATAAGAAAATCATCTGGAATCTCAGGGGGTCTGAACCAAAAAATGAAGGGAGATTCTATTGTATAGGTGAATATTTTGGATTTTTCAATAAATTTTTAGTCAATAAAAACTATTTTATTTGCAATATTGTTTTGACTTACAACAGTTGATATTTACTGATGAAGGTTTATGTAAATGCATTTGAATCAAAATATTTACAATTCATCAATAAGTTTGAGTGATTATAAAAAAAAAAAATAATAATAAAAAACTTAAAGTGCACAGTAGTCGTAGTACACTTTGAATTTTATCTTAGTTCTAAACTTACAATAACTTCTTGAGTTTTTCTGTATTCTCCAGGGTACAAATACGCTCTGTTTTTGTGGCATGAATGCAGCTTTCTTGAGCTACGCTTGCAATAACTGTACCAGCAGCTCTTTCATAATGCTTGTATGTTTTTTTGGATACAGACGGTATGTCAAATATGTAACTCATGAGTTTATTAACTTAAGAATGCCCTATTCCTCTACACATGGCTCCTGACATTACGTAAAAAATTTTTAAAACGATATATGACATGTTTGGGAGACGTATGAAAGCAAAAAATGTTAATAAACCTATTGATAATTTTGCATTTACTGCAAACGTCTGTCTGCTACTGCCAGAAATTGTACATAGAGGGCCACTTTCAACTGATAGTAAACTCAAACAATCAGAACACTTGACGTTGAAATAAGATCCCAACCTACGAACAGTCTCATCCTTTATGTCATCAAGATGTAATTTACTCTTGCAAGATGTGCAATGCATTTGTTTTACCATGTGATGTAAGTTGATGATGCGATCTCCTGTGACAGGGTAATTTAATGTTGTCACCTTCTCTTGTATCGCACTACCTTTCTTCTGAGGCGTAACTCTCCTTCCTTTGTTTTTTTTTCCATTTTCAGACACACGCAATAAATGTTCGTACCTACTTTTCGAAACACATTATCATTTCCAGTGAGATTTTTGTTTAGGCATCGGAAAAACACTAACACATCACATGTGTGCATAGGTACACGATACACTCAGCTGAGAGCAGAAGCAGACAACTTTGAATGTAGATAATACAATATACATATAACAATACGCGAGGTTGCCAGCCTTTAACTTGACGTCAACAACATAGTTAGCTACTAAAAAAAACCAAAGGAAGGATAGGTCCTTAAATACGACAACCCAAAATCTACACCAAAAACGATTACGCGGCACAGTTTTAAAAATTTTAATTTGGCTAGTCTTCAGCATAATTTTGTATCGCTTAATTGGAAGGCCACTTTTGACTGCCCTGACATAGACTTAAAAGTATCACTATACTCACAGAATTTTTTTTTATCAGTAGGATAATCATGCCCCTTTTCGCGATCACTCGGAGCGTCCCGTAGGATACGCCCTGGATGATGGCTGACTTACGAAGAATTTTAAAAGCAAGAAATGCTGCTTGCCGTACTTTCAACCGTATCAGGAAAGATAGTGATAGGGAAATCCGTAATCTTGTTCACAACCATGCTCAACTTGCCATACGCAACGCTATTTCTTGCTACCATCAGCAACAATTTTCGAAATGCAAGTCGCCTCGAGATTATTATACGATTACTTTTATTTCCGGAAATACTCAAGAAATAAGTAAGAATGAGAAACTATCTTCCCTAGGTCGAGAGTAAATACACAACCTCCTATTACCAGACAGTTGCTCTACAAATGAAGTTATTAAGGAGTAGTGCATTTACCCACAAGCTAGGCTCATGTAGATTCTCATCCTTAATTTTTTTAATATTTTCCATCTGAAAATCGATGTTTAATAGGTACAATGAAAATTAATTCTAATACTTATTGATACACTAGACATTAATATGATTCCACTAGCTATATCTAAAGACCAACACGATGGCTCAGCGATGGAGTCATAGTCCTGTCGATCACCGAGGTTAAGCAGCATTTGGCGCGGTTAGTTCTTGGATGGGTGACCGTTCAAGTCTTGCAATTTCGCCTTTGCTGTTCACTTCGTAGATCAATTGACTATTTATCTGTCTCTTCAACAACTTGAGCAGGAGGTGTACCAAATTTCTGCCCCGTTGTTTAAGTCTATATCTTAGACACCAGGTCAGAAATGAGGAAGATATATCAAGTTGTTCCGGATCAGGTTTTTCCTACAGGACATTTCCCTAGGTTTTTCTGATCCACATGATAATCATCGTGGGTGAATGCGGAGCAATTCGTAGGGCTTTCCCTCCTTCCAATCCCATTCTAAAATCCTTCCCAATCTCAAGTAATAGGTGCCCTAAGAAGTGACTCTACAAGATAGTCAGACCTAAAGCACTATTATATATATATATATACACAAATATATGTACAAGTAAATATTGAGATGTTTATTATCATGTCAATGCGACAGCTGAACTTACTTTCCGGTTGAAAGCAGGACCTCTAGGCAGCTCCATTGGTAAAGCAACTATCTGGTAAACAGGAGGTAGTACGTTCAATCCAAACCCAGGAAACACATTTTCTCATCATTACTTATGTCTTGAAAATTTTCTGAAATAAAAATAATTGAATTTTGAGTTTCGATCTTGCCAGAATATTTGCCATCGGAAAGGACATATATAAGTCTGGGAGTACGTATTTTAAAAACTACCACCACATGTATGTGCCAATTAATGTAATTATGAATATATAATCATTTGCTTGTTAACCTAGTAAATTATATTAATATTTAGTATATCGATAACCATAAAATCAATTTACATTTTTCTTAATTTTCTTTTTGTTTTACTTCTTTTTCAAAGCTTCAATTTAATTGTAATTAATTCAGACTGGTGGTTCATCAAAAAATTTTTTTTTCTCTTGATTGAAAGTAGAAAAAATATAAGTGCTTTAGGTTATTGAATCATCAGAGAAAGTGTTGAAGTATTTTCTTTGCCTTAAATTAAAAAAAAATATATTTACAAGAAAAAGTATAGGTACACCATTTTAGGCTTTAATGGAAAATAACAATTTAATGGAAAACATTCTGTAAGATTATTCGTTGTTTTATGGTTACGTTTGAGTATATTGAATCATATTTTTATGCATATTTAACGATGCAATTGATAAACTGATCAGCAATTTAAGAAAACAAATTAGCGTGCTATAGGACTACCTCAAAGTTGGAGTGGTAGTATGCTAAAAAATTATATAGATATAAGAATCATTAAGAAGTCGTAGAAAATAATTCGTTAGGTGAGCTGTTAATGAACAAAAAGCTTAAGCAAAAGTTAAAGGGTTCGATGGGGTCCAAAAAATAGCCAACTCTACAACCCACCTGGGGCCCATTATAAGGCCTTGGAGAGAAAAATTTTTTTCTAAATAGATACCTTATATTTTCATAACTGATTCTTATTCTACGGAAAAAAACAAGTTTAAAACGTATCATTCAGTTTTTCTTAATTGGCTTTTTAAAAGGCCCAAAATTGCAGTTTTATCATCCAATTTCAAAAAAGGGATAGTTTTTCAGAAACAGATAATTACACTAAATGACCATGTATTTAATTGATAAAAAAAAAAATCGTATTAACAGTAAAGGGGCTCAAAGAGACCAAAAGAGAGGCCAAATGTACAAACTACCTAGGGCCGACTATACGACTCTGGATGTAAAGTTTTTTTTAAAACAGGGATCCTACTTTTCATAAACGATTCTTATTCTTCGGAAAAAATAAGTTAAAACGAATTTTCAAATTGTTTTAATGGGGCTTTTAGAGGCCCAAAAATTGCAGTTTTATTATTCGAATTAAAAAAAAATAACTACTTATGTTTTCTTAACAGAATGCACACTTAAATTTACTTTTTTAAAGCAGTTTGTAAAAAATATGGCCATATACTTGAGTAATCTAAAAAAAATTTTGGCAGGCAATACGGCCCTGACGGTACTTAATTTTTTCGGTCTAAAAAAATTCTTAATTTTTTATTTAGAAATTTGTATGAAGAGATAGTAGAAAAAAGATATTACGTAATTAGAAACAATACTTGTTTACCAATATAAATGTTAGGTATAAAAACAAACCGAATTTTTCGGGTTATTTAATCAAGTACCCTACTTTGAAAATTAATATCAAAATTTAATGAATCGAAACATAATGATAAACTTTTTAAAAAAGACATATTTTTATCGTCTTTGCCTACGTTAAAGACTTATGCAAGCATTAAGTGTAGATGTTGCAACCTAAAACGTTATTGTGAATGATTTTTTCCAGCAATCTTTCTTGTTAAAAATGTAATACATATTTAGTATATTGCAGTGCTATCATTTATTTAATTATTCGTTTTTAGAAAAATTTATTACGTGAGTAGAATTAAAGAATAAGTATGATTTAAGGTCATGTATGTCACTGAGGAGTCAGATCTTAATTACTTCGAATGACATTTGTGTGAAAATTTTTCTACTTTTGCTTTATTTTTTCTTATTTTACAATGATAACATGTATCGTTTAAAAAAATTGATAGTGTTCATAAATGTTCAAATTCAATTTAATTTTATGCATAACAATTTCTTAAAAAGTAAAATTTTCGAGGAATGATCTTTGAATTCGAATTGTATCAAAAACTTACTGGTTACAAATTTTTGTTAAGATTTAATTTACTACCTGCCGAAAGAGAATACCACTGAAACTTGTTACTTTAATAACTTATTATGTTGCTAAACTACAGTGTATATTGTTCGAAGATGTAAATTTTAATAATTATTAAACCTTTTGTCACAAAATATCAATAAGTAGTAATCTAGTGTTGACAAAGGGGATATTATATACCAAATAAAATCGTTGATATGGTTTTAATTTTAGGAGAATAAGGAGGTGTTTATGTGCAAGCTGCAGCACGTTATGCTCAGCGGTTTCCGGGAAGAAGACCCCCATGTAAAGTGACGATCAGGAATTTGATACCATGCCTACCACATAACTTTGACCCTGGCATTATTACTTGCACATTTCAATCGACGTCTCGAGTACTGCCAGTAGGCCAGATGCCCGATTGCATGGCCTGCGTGCTCTCTCGATTCAACATCACTTAACTTGTATCTCTGGGGTTACTTGAAAGATGTTTTCAATGAAGAATCAACAAGGGAAGACATGGAAAATCGCATAAGAAAAGGAAACTGAATCATTGCATAGATGCTAATGGTGAAAGTTTTGAAAACGTTTTGAACAGTTAAAGTGATAATTGCAAAAAATGCATTGTAAGAACAAAAAGACTTACTGAAAAGCACCCCGTGAGAGGCAAGGGGACTCACGTAAATCAAGCACCCCAAGGAGTAAGAGGCAGGGGGACTCACGTAAATCAAGCACCCTGAATCGTGAAAGGCAAGGGGACTCACGTAAATGAAGCACCCCAAATCGTGAGAGGCAAGGGGACTAACGGTAATCAAGCACCCCAAATCGTGAGAGGCGAGGGGACTTACGTAAATAAAGCACCCCAAGAAGTAAGAGGCTTATTTTGACACAGATCTATCACTTCTTAATCGTTTTATTTGTTAACAAAGAATGTAAAAAAAAAATAATAACATATTAAAAATCAACTGGTTTATCGATAAGAAGAATGCAAGGTTTTCGGTGCCGTGTCACGTTACCATCGAGTAATTTCTATTGAACCTTTTGATACGTCAACGCGATTTGTACAAATTTTGTTTTATGGATTGAAATCTCACATAATTTTTCAGAAAGCAGTCATGATCACGAAAAATTTCTAACCAATCCATAAATTATGTGCCTTAGAAGAATCCAAACTTTGACTTCTGAAGTATCATATAAAAATTCATATAAAAATTTCTAAATACAAATTAAGAATTATTTTAGACTAAAAAATTGAGTACCCTCAGGGCAGTATTGCCTGCCAGATTTGTTTTTAGATCACGCAAGTATTTGGGCCTTCGAATGCCCTGTTGAAATAATTTGAAAATACGTTTCAACATATTTTTTTCCGAAAAATAAAAATCCTTTATAAAAAAATAGGATCCCTGTTTAAAAAAAATTTTTCTATCCAGTCGTATAGTAGACCCAAAGTAAGTTGCGAATTTGGCCTCTCTTTGGGTCTCTTTGAGCCCCTTTACTGTTAATACGATTTTTTTTAATCAATTAAATACATGGTCATTTAGTGTAATTATCTGTTTCTGTAAGACTATCCTTTTTTCAAAATTGGATAATAAAACTGCAATTTTGGGCCATTTAAAAAGCCCATTGAAAAAAATTGAATCATACCTTTTAGGCCCCGTCGAACCCTTTAACTTTTGTTTAAGCTTTTTGTTCATTAACAGTTCACCTAATGAGTTATTTTCTAGGACTCCTTAATGATTTTTATATCTATATAATTTTTTAGCACACTACCACTCCAACCTTGAAGTGTAGTCCTATAACACGTTAATTCTTTTTCTTAAATTGCTGATCAGTTTATCGATTGCATTATTAAATAGATATAAAAATATGACACAATATGCTGAAATTTCATCATAAAACAACGAATAATCTTACAGAATGTTTCAACCGTGGATCTTGATTGTAGCTCTATTTACCACAAGAAAATAGAAATAAGCTTTTCTTCTCTATTAAAATATGTCAAATATATCAATAAAGTTGATCCTTTTGTCTTTAATCTAGATCATGGGCAACGTACAACAGAAAAAAGTTTATATGCAATAAAAACTTTGAATTATTTAATAAATTTGTGTAAGTATTATTTGAATACATATTTGTATTTTTGTCTTAATTTAATGTTTCAATGTTACCAATATAGTTTTTCAAAACAAATAAATTATTTGGAACAATTTTTATTTCTAAATTGAAGACATTAAATAAAACCAAATAGTAAACGTTAAAATGATATTGACGTATAATTATACAGTATAATTTTTTTTTAATAAAAGTAAACAGTATAAAATAATTACAACATTTTACCTTATTACATCTTGGAAAAATATTTAATTTATCTTTGGGTATTTTCTAAGATGAAAAACCAGGCAAAAATTTGTCTAATAAAATTATAAAGAAGAATTTATTAAATTTACACTACTTTTGTTCTAATCACTGAACTACTTTACAAACAGTTTTTAACTTTTTCAGCTTCTTAAGGCAGGCTGAAAATATGAAGTATTGAACTGATATTCCAAAATTGAAGGGTTGGCGCGGAGCGTGCAGGGGGTGGAGCTCCACTAATATTAATATATACATCTATATGTTTGCACTGGACATTTTTATGAAAATAATAAAGTACTTATGCTGTATAAATATTAACAAACTTTTGAAACTTTCTTCAACCAAATTGGTTCGTTCTACGACAGAGAGTTGGGCATTTAAAGAGTGGCTATTATGAGTCTCGATGTTTTCTGAAATTATTTGTATAATCGTTGTGTAACGAGTTGACCAGATTCATCAATAAATTAGTCGTTCATATTATTTAAAAATTTAATTTTTCTTAAAATATCATCTAGGATTGTGTGCATTGCCTTTTTTCATAGAAGACATGTCATTTTTAAATTGATTACATTCTATTAGTACCAGTTGTTTCCGGTA